CCTTCCATTAATTAAACCTTACTATGCTTCGTTTCAGGGTATGGTGATGGGTGGTGCCAGGCATGCTGCCGACATCCGATGCGACGACATGAGCAAAGAGGGTCAGGGTATTATTACTCTGCAATACGGTACAAACAAGCTGGCTAGTCAGGCAGGCATGCGTGGCATGGGAGCGCATCGCCACATTGCCGACATTAAGTGCGATCAGATGACGCCTGAGGGTGCAGCTACGCTTGGTTTGCAGATGGGCCCCGGAATGAACCAGGTTGCCAACCAATCAGGCATTTCATTCGGCGCTCTTCGACATGTCAATGACTCATATTAAAGTCTGGGAAGGATACTCACTTCATTGAAACCCCCTCAGCCCTGCTGCCAACGCCTTTATTCTTCTATTCTCTCTTTCTCATCCCTGAACCTGCTGTCGCTACCCCCATTCGAATTAACGCTCGTCAAGTTTTGCTTTCTTCAAGCATGCTTCTTGTTGACCCAGTTTTAATTGTCCTTCGTCAGAGCATTTGAATAGGTCCCAAGGTTCAAGAGGGCACACTATGTCGCAGCTTATAATTCATCCACTTTTTTCACATTTCGGAATGTAACTGATTGTGTGTTTTCGAGCAAGTTAACATGAAAAAAGATACGCACACTGTGGTAAGCACGCAAACCCGAGTGTCTTCAGACTCTGACTTTATTTATTGAACATTTCATTTATGTTTCCTTCATAGGGATGTGTGTGTGCATATGCGTGCGAACCACTGTCTAATTGTCGTTTGGCTTACCATGCTGCCCTCATTTCGACTCTTTGTTCCCACCATTATAAATCGTCTGCAAATAGGAATCAAGAAGGCAACAGCATGTCTTGTTATCAGTTCTGATTTTCATTTAGAATGGCTTCAGCAACCAGACTTTCGGAATTCTCATTAGTCAAGTCAATTGACGTCAATTTATTAAGGGAAATATAGGCAAACGCCTTTGAACTCCCTATCGGTACACAGTAGTTAAGGAATGCATCGACAAAGCCGAACGATACGCCTTTGTCAATTTTCGGACCGTAATCAGTGCGACGAAAACAGGAGAAGCCGCCACGATCGCAGCTATCCGTTAATGGTCGACATAAGCCAGCTGCATGTACATGGATGAATTTAGTGGAAAGAATAATTTCATAATTAAATGTTTCTCAAACGAAGGAAGTAATACTGTATGAAATATTATATGTCCTTCGTCTGTAGCAAGCCTGCAGCGGTCAACTGGTGTTAGAGTGAGCATTACTATAGCAGTCTAGCT